TGTCAGGAACAGAGCAGCTGCTGCAGGAGAGGAAGGTGGGGTAGGGAGGAAGGCAAACATTCCCCTGACCTGTTCCCTGTGGGGCAGCAGCAGGCAAAGGGGTCTGTGCAGATCAGCGGCGCTTCCTGGTGCCTCTTGCTCCTTTGGGATCCATGTCCTAAAGCGGCTCCTGCTAGGTCAGGGACATGAAGGAGAAAGTGCCCAGATCACCAGGAGCTCCCCATTCCCGTCCCTCTGGCTCCTCTCTGTTCCCTTTCCTGGTGTTGTTTCCCAAGGGTTGGTGGAGTCATGGGGGGAGTGGGGGAATTGAAAATTGCAACTTAGTCTACTACAGAAATTCAGTTCCTCTGAGTCATTTATCTTGGGTGTGGGGTGGTGTGGTTTTTTTTGTTTTTTTGTTTGTTTGTTTTGTTTTGTTTTTTTTTCTTTTTGTTTTGTTTTTTGTTTTTTTTTTTATTGTTTATTTTCCCCTACAGTAGAAGTGGCTTTTGTCAGAAGCTCTAAATGAAGATTTTTGTGATCAGCTCCTCTTTACCTCCTGATGGGAAACACTCCTTCCCTGCAGAGTGTCCCATTCTGCAACTGCCTTCCCTTTCTAGACAGGTTTCTACCATTCCTCATTACTCTTCCCTGAGGTGTCATGGTCCCTCCAGCAGCAGAGGGATGCTGGTGGTGCTGGTGGCACTGGAATGCTGGCAGTGCTGGCAGTGCTGGTGAGGCAGCTGGGTGCTTCTCTGAAACAACTCCTGTTCTGGGAAGGGCTCTGAGATCATTGCCAAAACATGCTCTGGGCTGGGGAAGTACAGCCGAGCTGCTTCCTCCTCCTATCCTGATCCTGTCCACATCCTTGCTCCCCATCCCCATACCTATCCCCACCCCGCTCGCCATCCTTACCCCATCCTATCACATCCCACAGCTTTCCCTGATGGCGCCGTTCCCGCAGCCTGAGCGCAGCCTGTCAGGCTCTGCTCTCCTCCAGTGGGGAGATTTGGGATTGCTGGCATCCAGACCCCCTCCAACCCTCTCCTGACCCTTTCCAAACTGCCTGCAACACCCCAGTCCATCCCTGGGGACCCCTGTGCCCCAGAAAAGCCCCGATCCTTCCCCACTCCACCAGGGAACCCCGGCAGTGTCTCTGCTCCTCCTGGCCATGGGGTTCTTAGACCCAGGAGGGAGGAGCAAAGCTCAGCTCCAAGCTGCTCCAGAGCAGAACAGAGAAGGGTAAATGTGGCTGGAGCCAGTGCAGAAACAGATTTGGAGGCCTGCAATGGTTTGGGGCAAGTTCTGTAAAAAGAAGCAAGAGCACATGGCCAAAGGAAAAGGTCACGGCAAGGTCATCTTTGATATCACAGCACTCAGTGAATGCAACCACCAGAGACCCCTCTGAATGATCCTCCAGGGCCAGCAAAGGACTTGGAGAAGGAGGTGGATGCATAGAAATGAGCCCTAGGAAAGTGATGTTTATATATTAGAAAAGAAACACACTTTAACTATAGTGTGTGGTTATGATGGAAAAAACCCTGTTGTAAAATCTCACCCCAAAGAGAAATATGGAGAGATCCGTCTGTGTGTCATCTGCCTCCTAATGCTTCTCATTGTGTTGGAAAGTTTATTCTGGCTGATTTTGCTATCACTACCAATTCCCATCTCCCCTTCTCATGCCACGCCACGCCTCGCCACGCCATGCCATGCCATGCCATGCCATGCCATGCCATGCCATGCCATGCCATGCCATCCCATCCCATGGCCGCTCCCCGTGTTGAAGCTCTGTCCCTCAGGCTCTGCTGCTCTCCAATCAGGACATTTGGGATCAGCACCATCCAGATCCTTCCTGGCTCCTCCTGCTCCCTCCCACACGCCCAGACCCCCGGGGACGCTTCCCCCCCTGCCCGCCAGCCCCGCTGCACCCGGGAGCAGGGACATCTCTGCTGTGACACTCACAGAGCCCTCGGGGTGGGGAATGTTGAGCGCCTGGGCCATCGTGTCCGTGCCAGCCCAGCTCTGGCACTGGGCATCATGGTTGCTGCAGGGAGCACAAGCCATGGCCGTGTCCCCTCCCTCCAGCCACATTCCCGGCTGGCAGCAGCAGCCAGAGGAAGCCGGGAAGCGCTGGCAGAGGGGGCAAAGGCAGCTCAGGGTTCATGGTGCTGTTTATTGATATCAGACCTCAGTGGGATGCAGGAACCAGGTGCCAGGGGGAATTCTGGGGTCACAGCCGTGTTGGGAAGGATCCCTTTCAGGAAAGCAGGTTTTAAGTGTTCTGGGAGGTGTAAGAGAGGAGGGAAAGCCATGCTCCAATGTGCTCCCCCGCAGAGCATCCCTCCCACATGGCCCTTAGCAATGCTCCTGCTGCCTTCCCCTGCAGGAATTGAGGTGGGAGAGTGACCCTGTGGATATTTATTAATCAGGTGACTCAAGGAAACCCTCAGCCAATGCCCCGGGGTGCTTCATCAGTGCAGTGGAAGGGATCAACAGGCTCAGACTGCCATGGAATCACTGAAATCATTCCCTGGTGGAATCATTGCTGCTGGCAGTGTTTTCTTCTAGCCCACCAAAGACCTTCTGGAGAAATTTCCTGAGGAACACATGCAGCAGTTCTTCCAGCATCTCTGTGAAAAACACCAATCACTTGTTTTTAAAATGTTAAAAGTTTAATAGTAATAAAATGGTTATAAAATAGTAATATAATTAGAGTAATAAAAATGTGGACAATTAGGATTTAGCATATTTTGGGACAGTAAAAACAAAGAGTTACAGACAGTCCTCTTTCTGGGAAAAATAAGCCTGAAAAAGGACACATATTAACAGAGGATTAACCCTTAAAAGCAGTAGCCTGTTGCATATTCATACATCTCATACATGGTGCATAAATTCCATTCAAACAAAGGATTCTGTCTGGTCATCGTCAACTTCCTCATAATCCTGACGTCATCTTCAGGACTGAGCGAGGCAGGAAGAAGTTTGTTTCTCCTGTTAAGGGAACTATAAATTCTTTTTCACAGAAAGATTTAGGTGTCCTGTGGTTGATATCTAGAGGGCAGTACCTCATTCCTCTCTTTTTAAAAAAGCCTCTTAACATCATTACATTTGAAACTCTATTTTTTCTATTCTTGGAGTGTTTTTTCCTCCCAGTTCTCATCTCAGCTCATGAGCCCTTTGTTAATTGCTGTTTCCCTCTCCTCTGCCCAGCTGAGAGCAGGAGAAGGTGAGTGAACGGCTTTCGTTGGTGCCTGGCGTTTGGCCAGTGCCAAACCACGAAAGGCTTGCAGCAGGTTATCAGCATCAGAGCCCACATTTCTTACTGACAGTACCCTTGATGATGCAATAAAAGTTATTGGAGACCCGATGTTGGGGTGCTGGGGTGCCCATTCCAGTCCTTCACCAGAGCTCATCCTCCTCCTCCTCAGCCTTGGGAATACTTGTGGTTGTTTTTTCCTGATCTCATCCTTTGCAAGCAGGGACATCTTCCACTAGACCGAGCTGCTTCAAACCCCATCCAGCCTGGCCTGGAACACCTCCAGGCATGAGGAGGCCAGAGCATCTCTGGGAACCTGTGCCAGGGCCTCTCCTCCCCTGACAGGGAGAAATTTCTTCCCAATATTCCCCCTAACCCTGTTCTCTGGCAGTGGGAAGCCATTCTCCCTTGTCCTGTCACTTCAGGCCTTTGTCCAACGTGCCTCTCCAGTTCTTGGAGCCTCTTTAGGCCCTGGAAGGGGCTCTAAGGTCTCCCTGAAGCCTTCCCTTCTCCAGGCTGAACAGCCCCAGCTCAGAGACCTCAGAGAAGCCACAGGGAGGGGGGTGATGCCCTGTGGAGACAATGGTGACAAACACAGATGTCACCCTGCTCCTGGAAGGGGGTGGCTGTGCTGAGGAGCACGGACTCCTCCTCCCCTTGGAGCTGCACCATCCCAGCCTGCTGAGGGAGAAGCCAATGCCAGGGCAGAGGAAGAATTTCTGAAGGCACAAAACCACCAGCAAGGAAATCAGTAAAAAACAGGTTTATTATTAAGCAAACCAATGTGCTATCCCTATTTTTGTGTTTGTGTGTGTTCAAGGGCATATGACAAAAGGACAGGGTGGACAAGGATTAAAAGGAAAATGGCTTAAATGCTTTGCAACACTCAAACAGTACTTCAGTTACAGCTTAAACTTAGCAATTCAGAAGAGCAATATCACTTAGCAGCTTTTAACCCTATTTATGCCTGATAGTTCCTTGCAGGCCTGCCCCAGTGGGAAGTCTCAGGTACTAACACAGCTGAGAGAGCAGCATTTCTGCCACATTTGCCCCAGCAGATGCAGACGTGTGTGCACACAGCCAGCCAGGCAGGCAGAGTGAGTGCAAGGTGCCTGTGAGCAATTGCCCTGGCAGGCAGTGAAATGCTCCCTGCGGATCCCTTTGCATCTCCTCCCTGGGCCAAGGGCTGGGCCTGGAGCCCTGGCGGGATGGGCCCAGGAGCCGTCGGCGTTCGGGGATCAGCCCAGGGCAGCAGCCGGGAGAGATCCCAGCTGGGAGAGGCCCCAGTGCCAGGGAGCTTCTGCTCAGCGCTGCTGGGCCCAGCAGAGCTCCAAGGCTCTCCTGTGGGGCCGCTGCTCACAGGGCCCCAAGGCATGGGCGGCACTCACAGCAATGGCTCAGCCTGGCCACACTTGGGGCCGGCAGCTTCCTGAGACAGTGGGAGAGCAGGGATGCTGTGGCATCCAGGGTAATACAATAATTTGCAAGGCTGTTGATAAAAGTCCAGGAGGTGGTTGGACAGCAGCAGTTGCTGGGAGCAGAGGGTGTTTCTGATCAGCGCCACAGGAGCTGAGCCCAGGGGCTGCTCCTCAAGGCTGAGGCCTCCCAAGCACGGATCAGAGCCCAGAGCGGCCTGGAAAAGGGCTGGGGATGCAGCAGCACAGGGAGGGTGACCCTGCGGGCATTTATTGATCAGGAGACTCAAGGAATCCCTCAGCCACTGTCCCAGGGTCCTTCACCAGTGTAGTGGAAGAGATCAACAGACTCAGACCCCTGTGTCCACAGAAGGTTCATCTCTACAGTCAGTGTTTTCTTCTGGGTCCCCAAAGACCCTGTGGATCGCCTCCCTTAGGGACTGCATGGAGAAGTACTTCCTGCAGCTCTCCATGGAGCAGTGCCTCCAGCAGCTCCCCATGGAGCAGTCTCTCTTCCAGCTCCCCACCAAGAAGCAGATGAAGGGTTTGATGCTGCTGTTGATGCTGGTGAGCAGGAAAACCACCTGGGAGGGCACAATGGTGTAACCGAGCTGCTGCAGTAAATTCCAGAGACTGAGGGGCAGACTGAAGAGTGCAACAAGGAAGATAACAATGTCAAGCGTCTTTAGTGGCTGCTGCTGTAAGCCAGGCTTGCGATGAATGAAGAGAATTGTGCTGGAAATAACCATTGGTGCTGCAAATAGGAAGAGGCTGAGGGCGTACATGGAAGTGAGAATCACCCGACATTGCTCCTGCTCGTGTGACTGGCACAGGGAAGTCACCGTAGGATTGACAGTGATGACAACAAAGAGGAGGGCCCAGTACAAGACACTCATCACCACCCTCAGCAGGTGCTCAGGAAGTTGGCAACCACAAAAAAACAGGCAGAGGATGGACCTGCACCTCTCAATGCTGATGAATGTCAGCCGGTACAGCCCTATATTGTAGGTGAACAGTGACAGCTGGAAAAGCAGGTTCATATATATTGAGGGCATTGTAGCCGAGCAGGAAACCTCCTCCACAAGGAATACCAGGGTGGAGGGCAACATGAAGATGAGGAAGAGGAAGTCAGTGATGGCCTGATAGAATATGAAGTCAGTGATGGCATTAACGTGCAGGAGCGAGAGGAACACCCCGTTCCCAGCCAGCCCACAGAGGCCAATGAGCAGCATCACAATGTGCATGGCCATGTTGGAGACATTGATCTCACACTGACCAGGTGCGTCAGTTGGTGAGATGAAAAGACAGGACATGGTGCTCACCTCCATGGATGGACGTTGGGCAGGCAGTGGGATGTGGCCCCTGGCTGTGGTCAGAGTGGATGGGCAGTCAGTGCTTGGAGAATCCAGGGATCGAGCATGTGGCTCCTCAGCAGCTCCCTGCAGTGGGAAGGATTCAGTGGGGAGGAGTGAGATGTGCAGGGGAGGAGGGTGGTGGAAACTGAGGGGTGGGAGGGTTGGGCTGGTGTGCAGGGGATTGATAAATAAGAGAGAGAATTAACATTTTCTTCTCCCCTGAATTGCTCCAAGACGAACTGGTCAGAGAGATAAATGAATTTGAAGATGTGGACCTAGGATGATAAATGCTGCTGGAGCCTGTGCAGAAACAGATAAGGAGGTCCACTGTGGTTTTGGGGTAAGTGTTGTCAGAAGAAGCAAGAGCACATGGCCAAGGGAAAAGTTGAAGGCAAGATCACCTTTAACATCTCAGCACTCAGTGAATGCAACCACCATAGACCCCTCTGAATGAAGCCCAGGACATGAAAGGCTGTTCAGCAGGAAGTGGATGCCTGGAAATGAGTTCTAGGAAAATGGTGTTTATGTACTAGACAAGAAAAAATGTTATTCTCTATGTATGGGTATAATGGATAAAAACACTGTTGTAAAGTCTCACAACACACAAAGACATAAAGAGATACTACTGCATGTCCTGCTTCCTAATGTTTCCTTTGCTAGCACCATTGGTTGGTGTTAGGAACTTTATTGTCTGATTCTGCTATCACACTTCATCCATCCCATCCCATCCCATCCCATCCCATCGCGATGGGTTCCCAGTCCCTGGCCTCTCCCTGGCTGCAGGTGTGGCCTGTTGGGCTCTGCTGCTGTCCAGTGGCAGATTTGGGATTGGTGGCACCCAGAGCCCTCCTGCCCCCTCCAGCCCCTGTCTGCCTGATGCCTTGGGCTGGCTCCCTGGAACAGAGGCCAGAGCAGGTGAAGAGAATGAAAGGAGGCATTGATGAAAGGCCTTCAAAAGGTTCACCCTGGGCTCTCAAAGCCTCCAAGAGGGGCTGCGCCCAAAATGGACAATGGTCATGAGTTTTTCAGACAGATAAAAGTTTGGTCCATTTACAAATCAGGGGTTAATCCTCCAATTACAGCTTCAGGTAATGAAGTCATTTAGCCCCAGTTTGCCCTCCCCAATTCACTTTTGTCTATACTTTTCTAGGCCTGAGGCAATAGAGTGTCCTTGAATTTCAGGCCTAGAGGGATTGTTTTGTCTGACCAAAATGTGCAGACAGTTAACTAACACTTTCCATGGAGTTTAGAGTTATGCACTAATGCAATACAGGATATGAAAAATAGAAAGGCTAAGATCCTAAGGCATCATGCCCCCTCTGACATCCTCTAGAAATTCCCCCCAGGCTGCCTTCCCCTCCAGACAGTCCCGCTCCTCTCCTGCCCCACTCAGGAGCCCCAGCAGTGTTTCTGCTCCTCCTGGCAATTCCATGCTTCTCCAGCCCAAGGAACAGCAGTGGAGCCATCCCTGTAGTGCCTCTTGTTTGTGTGCAAAGGAGGTTGGGGGGCTGGAGAGCAGGGATGGAGCTGGGATGGGGCATCTCCAAGAGAAAGACGGCCCCAAAGCCTTCCGGGGCAGGCTGGGGTGAGCAGCCCGTGGGGAGGGACTGGAGCCTCAGGCCTGGGGCTGGGAGGGATGGGAAGGATGGGAGGTGTGTGGGCTGCATGGGGAGTGGGATGGGAGGGTGGTGTGGGAGGGGTGGGACATGATGGAGCTGCTGGGAAGATGTGGTGGGAAGGTGTGGGATGGGGTGGGTCTGGAGAGAAGGTGTGGGATGTGGTGGGGCTGGAGAGAAGGTGTGGGGTGTGGTGGGGCTGGAGAGAAGGTGTGGGGTGTGGTGGGGCTGGTGGCCTCAGGGAAGCCCCAGGGAGGGGGGTGATGCCCATGGAGCCCATGGTGATAAACACAGGTGTCACCCTGCTCCTGGAAGGGGGTGGCTGTGCTGAGGATCACGGCCTCCTCCTCTCCTTGCTGCTGCACCACCTGAGCCTGCTGAGGGAGCAGCTGAAGGCAGTGGAGAGGAAGAATTTCTGAAGGCAGACAGACCTTTGCACCTGGCTCACAAAATTAAAAATTAAAGATCTTTTGGGAGATCTGTGCTGTGACACTCACAGAGCACTCGGGATGGGGAATGCTGAGCCCCTGGGCCATCGTGTCTTTGCCAGCCCAGCTCTGGCCACTGAAGATCATGGTTGCTGCAGGGAGCACAGGCCATCGCTGTGTCCTCTCTGACACCAAGACGTTGAAGTCTTACAGGAAATTGTTTTAGGCTAGGAAGAATTTTGAGTCGAATTTGTGAACATAGTGGAAATATATTCGCCATAGACCTGTTCAAAGAAACAAGAATTTCCAAGCATTTTTATACACTATAATATCCAAGATTTTTTGATAAATATTCTTTAAATTGCTATAAATTTTTTACATTATGGCATTGTTGTTTTGTTCTTTTATTTACTACAATATACTGTCTCTCTTAGATTAATGCATAACCCAGGTTTTGTCCAGCTAAAGAACAATTCATCAGATTTGATGTCCTAGTTAGACAATTTCCTTTTCTTAGGTGCCCAAGCCTATGAATTGGCTCCTTTATTGCCATTACAATTTATCTCTTACAATTTATCATCAAGTCCTCTTGTGTGTGTAGGTTTCCAAACTCCTAATTATCTCAAGATATCATTCTTATTCTATGACGTCCAATTATTTTCTAGTTATATGATAACCATTAACAGTACTTTATTGAATTTTTTTCTCCAGCTATTGATTAAGTTCTCTAAGGGCTATGGGTTAATAGAGTTTTCTACGGACACTCAGCCAACACAGATCTAAAACCAAAACAGCTAAAATCCACAGTCAAATATGCCTTAACTAATTAAACATAGTTCATTACAGAAATTTCTAAACAGTCACAGAATTCCTGGCTAACTACCTCTCTGTCCCCTCCCTCCAGCCACATTCCCGGCTGGCAGCAGAAGCCAGAGGAAGCCGGGAAGCGCTGGCAGAGGGGGCAAAGGCAGCTCAGGGTTCACGGTGCTGTTTATTGATATCAGACCTCAGTGGGATGCAGGAACCAGGTGCCAGGGGGAATTTTGGGGTCACAGCCATGTTGGAAAAGATTATTTTGGCTCTAAGACCTATGAGGGAGGAGCAAATCCCTGCTCCAATGTGCTCTGTGCAGAGCATGCCTCACACATGGCCCTTTCCACTGCCTCTGCTCCCTTTCCCTGCAGGAATAAGGGTGGGAGGATGATCCTAAGTCACTGCCCCATGGTCCTGCATGGGGGCACTTGAAGGTTTCAACAGGCTGAGACCCCGTGTCCATGGTGTGTGTGTCTGCACATACAGTACCTGTGTGTGTGCCAGTGTGCACAGCTCTGGGTGCACACACAATTGCCAAGGTGTACCCGTGTTGTGTGCACTACTGTGTGCATAGATGTTAAATTACCCCCTCTCAGGTGTGACTCAGTCTGTGCACAGCTCTGTGTTTGAGCGTACAGGGACTCTGCAAGTGTGAACATGGCCCTGTGTAAGATATGTGTGTTAAAGTGTATGACACTGCACGTATTAGTGTGCACAGATTTGTATACTCATGTTAATGTACACAAGTTCTGCATGCAAGCAAGTCTCGTGTTTGTGAGTGCATGTACATTAGTAGAGACTGTACATAAGTGAGTGTCTCTGTGGCACACGTGTGCTACTGTGCACAAGGTGAGCATGCACAGCTCCATGTGTGTGTGCAAGTGTGTGCTGCTGACAGGTACCGCTGTACACCAGGGCTCTATGCCAGTGAGCAAGTACCTCTGTGTGTGTGCTGACTATACACATACCCCTGAGTGCACACATAGGCTGAGCACACCAGAGACACAGCTCTGGATGCACAGCTCCCTGCATCCGGCTACTACGTCACCTGAGAAGAAGAACCCAGACGTGTGTTTGTGTGTGTCAATGTGGATGTATCACTACTGAACTCTGCTGACCAGAGCAACCCCTAGCTCCCTGTGTATATTTTGTTACAATATGTAGAGTTCAACTTCTTTTATAACAGAAATACAAAGCGTGGTCCCCTGGCACCAAGATCAAGAATCCATAGCCTTCTTATGTCTCTACCACTGACTGCAAGGTGAGGGTACACACACAACCCACCAGAGAGCTCCATGGAAGCAGAAACCCTAGAAGTTTTGCGAAACCCCAAAGATTAAGTGCGCTAACACAGATCATAAAGAAGAGAAATTGCTTCCACTGAGCCATTCTGAGAAGACAAGAATGCTTACAAACCAGCCCATTCAAACTGCTGTTATTTATATTCTTAACTTGTGCCTTAATTTTGCTGTAGACTTGTAAGAACTTATAAGTGTGTGAACTCATTCTTGTAGATTGATAGACAAACGTCGCCCTGTTGTGGCACTTTGTGAAAGACAAGTGAAAGCCTCACAAGACTACTCTGCATGCTTTAAAAAACTATTTAAGTAACATTTTGAATAGAGAATCTAAATTGTATTAATCATTAATATAATTTTCCTATGAAAATTTCAAGTATCTGTTAAGGAAAGGGTCAGTAAAAAGTGGTGAAATAATTCATTTAAAAATTGAAGTATGATGGGAACCAGAGGGCAAGACCAGATTGGCCCCTGTACTCACCCCCAAGAAAATTATAACCCTACTGCAGGCAGCAATCCTATAGGCATGGCAGGAGGAGGTAAAAGCCATACTAGACCTCTGTTACTCCATTTTATCTGCTCAGACCAATTCGTGTCACAAACTCCACAAAACATTTTGCTTAAAGAAGACCTGAGATTTCTTTCCCTTTTCCACTGTCCTCACCCATATCAACAGACACTATTACAACTCATTCAAAATCAAACTTCACTTAAGAAAAGCTTAAGCAGTTAATCAAAACTGAAAATAAAAGATAATTGCTCGAGCCAAAAAACTTCTAAAAAAGAATAGGGGAGCTTGTTATAGATAAATAATGAGATGATTGGCTCTCTCAATTAAGGGATGAATACTGTGTGTATATTAAAAGAAGCTGTTTTGATGTATAGCTATGTTACTGCAGTCTGTTGTTTAGATGTCCTCTGTTCTCCCCATAGTCCCCTTTTCCCTCCCTCTGTATTGCTGCCATCAGACAGCCTAGCTTGTCTAGGACAGGTAAAAAGAAGGCATGTACATATACCTCTTGCATGGGTGTCTTAGGCTGGAAATGGGGGTGTGTATTCTATTCCTATCTGATGGGGCAATTATCTTCTGTTAATTAAGCAGTTTTCTTTATCTCTTCCACAACAGTCATCCCTCTGGGGAGATATCTTCTGTTAATGGGCCATTGAATCTCACTGCATGACTGATAAAATTACATCCCATTGTGAGAAGCTCTGCCCAGAGGGAAGAGCCAAGAATTCCCCCGTGGATATAATCTGAGATCTGGAAGACCACAGCCAGCCTTTTCCCACTGGATTCCCAGAGGAGCAGCTTTCTTCACTGGATCTTCAGAGGAAGACCAGGCCCATCTACATCCCCACTGGACCTTCAGAGGGAAACTCCATCCTTCTCCAGGATCCCTGCTCCAACAGAACCACAGCTGGCACTGCAGGAGGGCTGAGCCACCATTTAATGGGACTGCTACCAACACCCTGACCCACAGGGTGGCAGATCGTATTCTGACTCCGTCACTGTTGTTTTGTATTTCTGCATTGTTTATTTTTTTGGTTTTTAAAATTTTCTTCCCTATTAAGGAACTGTTATTCCTGGTCCCATATCTTTGCCTGAGAGCCCCCTTAATTTCAAAATTATAACAATTCAGAGGGAGGGGGTTTATATTTTCCATTTCAGGGGAGGCTGCTGCCTTCCTTAGCAGACACCTGTCTTTTCAAACCAAGACAATGGGGCAGGGAACGGAAAAACTTGTTTCTAAGGGGGCACAACATGACAACACCTGACTTTCCAATCGAGTTACAAGAAAGTAGTCTTCACCAATAAATGCCAAAGAAGAGGTGACTGACAGAATTTTAGAGGGGCCAGAGTTGGCTGATACAACCCTCAGGGGTATAAAAGAAAGAACAGCCATTTTGTTGGTGAGCCATGTGCCAGGCAGCCACAGGAGGGGCTCTCAGTGCTGTTATTTTTCCTGATTTACTCCCTTTGTTGTAATATTTGTTAACATTTAATAAACCTTTAAAAATTTTACGAAGTGAGTGGTCATTTTTCGTGGGATCAACAGGCTGACTCTCCCATGTCCCTGGAAGCATAATTTCTGCGGGCACATTTTTCTTTCTACTCATTGAAGACCTGGTGGGAGAGCCATATGAGACAGGGCCTCCAGCACCTCCCTACCAAGAAGTAGATGAAGTGAGTGTTTGAGGCTGCTGCTTCTAAAGGTGAGGAAAACAGCCTGGGAGGACACATCAATGTACCCGAGCTGCTGCAGGAAATGGCAGAAGCTGAGAAGGAGAGTTGACAGTGCAGTGAGGTGGAGAAGCATGTCACACCTCTTCGGCTGCTGCTGCTGGGAGCTCCACTGGGCCTCCATGAAGTCAATTCTGACAGAAATGGCCACGGGAGCAGCCAAAAGGAGCAGGATGATGGTGTACATGGAGATGAGAGGTGCCCTGCAGTGCTCCTGCTCTTGTGGCACAGGAATATCACCGAGGGAAAGACAGTGAAGAGAGCAAAGAAGGCCCAGGACTGGACACTTCCCACCACATTCACTCAGAAAGGTCTCAGAGGCAGCGCTGGAAGATGTTGTACATGTAGAGCACAGTGCCAGCAGGACTGAGCCAGAACAACCCCCAGTAGTAGGAGACCACTGAGAGCTGGAAAGAGAAACACAGGTACAGCATGGGCATGACAGGAGAGCAGGACACATCCTCCAGCAGGAAGAGAAGGGTGGAGAGGATGGTGAGGAGAAGGAAGAGGAAGTCAGCAACAGGCAGCTTGAAGATCCCAGAGTTATGGGTTTTCAGGCTGGGAACAGGGCTGTGCTCTGGCTCCTCAGATGAGCAGTGTCACACTGTGTATGGCCACGCTGGTGACCTCTATCTCACACAGATCATCTCCTTCAGTGGGTGAGATGGCAGGGGGGGACATGGTGGTCACCTCCATGGATGGACGCTGGGCAGGCAGTGGGATGTGGTCCCTGGCTGTGGTCAGAGTGGATGGGCAGTCAGTGCTTGGAGAATCCAGGGATGGACCATGTGGCTCCTGAGCAGCTCCCTGCAGTGGGAAGGATTCAGTGGGGAGGGATGGGATATGCTGGGGAGGAGGGCAGTGGAAATTGCTGGGAGACAAAGGTAGGGGGCTTGGGAGTTCAGAAGAAGACACAGAAGGGAAGTGCTGCGCAGAGGAGGGGAAAGCTGGAGAGGGCCCTGCGGTCACCGGGAGAGGGTGGCAGGAACAGTAAAATGCTCCCTGAGGATCCCTTTGCATCTCCTCCCTGGGCCAAGGGCTGGGCCTGGAGCCCTGGCGGGATGGGCCCAGGAGCCGTCGGCGTTCAGGGATCAGCCCAGGGCAGCAGCCGGGAGAGATCCCAGCTGGGAGAGGCCCCAGTGCCAGGGAGCTTCTGCTCAGCGCTGCTGGGCCCAGCAGAGCTCCAAGGCTCTCCTTTGGGGCCGCTGCTCACAGGGCCCCAAGGCATGGGCGGCACTCACAGCAATGGCTCAGCCTGGCCACACTTGGGGCCGGCAGCTTCCTGAGACAGTGGCAGAGCAGGGATGCTGTGGCATCCAGGGCAGTACAATAATTTCCAAGGCTGTTGATGAAAGCCCAGGAGGTGTTTGGACAGCAGCAGTTGCTGGGAGCAGAGGGTGTTTCTGATCAGCGCCACAGGAGCTGAGCCCAGGGGCTGCTCCTCAAGGCTGAGGCCTCCCAAGCACGGATCAGAGCCCAGAGCGGCCTGGAAAGGGGCTGGGGATGCAGCAGCACAGGGAGGGTGACCCTGTGGGTATTTATTGATCAGGAGACTCAAGGAATCTCTCAGCCACTGTCCCAGGGTCCTTCAGCAGTGCAGTGGAAGGGATCAACAGGCTCAGACCTTCGTGTCCATGGTGGGATCATGGCTGTGGGCTGTGTTTTCTTCTGGCTAGTCAAAGACCCTCTGGAGGGAGAGCCGTAGAGACCACACGGAGCAGGGCCTCCAGCACCTCCCCACCAGGATATAGATGAAGGGTTTGATGCTGCTGTTGATGCAGGTGAGCAGGAAAAAAAACTTGGAGGGCACAGTGGTGTAGCTGAGCTCCTGCAGGAAATTGCAGAGACTGAGGGGCAGAGAGAAGAGCAGAATGAGGCAGATAACAATGTCCAACTTCTTGGGTTGCTGCTGCTGGGAGCCAGGCTTGAAATGAGTGAAGAGGATTATACTGGAAATGAGCATGAAGGGAGCACCGAGGACGAGGTTGAAAGCGTGTATGGAGCTGAGAGATACCCTGCAAAAATCAGGTTGCTCAAATATGCACAGGGGAAGCATCATGGCAAAGTCAATGATGAGAGTGACTGAGAAGGCCCTGAGCAGGGCAAGCATGACGTTCAACATCTGCTGGGGATGGTGGCAGCAGAACCAGAGTGGGCAGTGGATGGAGCGGCACCTCTTGATGCTGATGAATGTCAGTGTGCACAGCCACAAGCTGTAAGAAAACAGTGACATCCAAAAAAGGAACCTTATATATGACAAGGGCAAGATGTTAGAACAGGACACGTCCCCCACCAGGAAGAGCACAGTGGCGGGCAACAGAATGAGGAGAAAGAAGAAGTCCAGAAGAGTAATCATGAAGATGTAAAGGATGGTGCTGCTCCTGGATGAACAGCAGGAGCCAAGGAGCCAGAGCACAGCCGCGTTCCCAGCCAGCCCACAGAGGCAGATGAGCAGTGTCACACTGTGGGTGGCCACGGTGGTGACATCTGTCTCACAGAGATCATCTCCTTCAGTGGGTGAGGCAGGAGATGGGGACACGGTGGTCACCTCCATGGATGGATGCTGGGCAGGCAGTGGGATGTGGTCCCTGGCTGTGGTCAGAGTGGATGGGCAGTCAGTGCTTGGAGAATCCAGGGATGGACCATGTGGCTCCTGAGCAGCTCCCTGCAGTGGGAAGGATTCAGTGGGGAGGAATGAGATGTGCAGGGGAGCAAGGCAGAAGAAATTGTCAGGTGAGAGAGGGAGTGTTGGGCTGTTTGGCAGGGGACGTGGAAGCAAAGCTCAGGGCAGAGGAGGGGGGAGCTGGGGAGGGCCCTGCAGTCACCAGAAGAGGGTGTCAGGAACAGAGCAGCTGCTGCAGGAGAGGAAGGTAGGGTAGGGAGGAAGGCAAACATTCCACTGACCTGTTCCCTGTGGGGCAGCAGCAGGCAAAGGGGCCTGTGCAGATCAGCGGCGCTTCCTGGTCCCTCTTGCTCCTTTGAGACCCATGTCCTAAAGCGGCTCCTGCCAGGTCAGGGACATGGAGGAGAAAGTGCCCACATCACCAGGAGCTCCCCATTCCTGTTCTGCTGGCTCCTCTCTCCGTGCCCTGTCCTGGTGTTGCTCCCAAGGCTTGGTGGAGTCATGGGAAAGTCAGAAATTGCATGTTTGGCTATGTAAGAATTTCACTTCCTCACACTTATTTAGCATGGCTTTTTGCTACAGAGGAAGTGACTTTTGTCAAAAGCTCCAAATGAAATATTTTGCAGATGGTTTATCATTCCCTCCTGATGAGAAAGATTTCTTCCCTGCAGAGTGTCCCATTCTCCGACGGCCTTCCCTCTCCTGGCAGGTTTCTACCATTCCTTGCTTCCCTTCTCTGATAAAGGTCACTGTCCCTCCAGCAGCAGAGGGATGCTGGTGGTGCTGGCGGCACTGGAATGCTGGCAGTGTTGGCAGTGCTGAGTCAGCTGGGTGCTTGTCAGAAGTAACTCCTGTTTAGGGAGGAGCTCTGGGATCATTGACAAACCTCCCCTGGGCCCAAGGAAGCAGAGCTGAGCTGCTCCCTATTTTATCCTATCCTATCCTATCCTATCCTATCCTATCCTATCCTAATCCCATTCCCACCCTGCACCCCATTCCCACCATGCTCTCCATCCTCACCCCATCCTATCACATCCCACAGGTTTCCCAGATGGAGCCGCTCCCCCACTCTGAGCGTGGCCTGTCACGCTCTGCTCTCCTCTGGCTTTGCCAGCATCCAGACCCCTCCAGCCTCTTCTGACCCTCTCCTGACCCCTCCAGCCTGCTCTGACACCTCAGAACTCACCCAGGGCTGATTTTTTCCCTTGACTGCCCCACTCCTCCCCTGCTCCACCAGGGATCCCGGGAGTGTTCCTGCTCCTACTGGCCATAGGGGTCCAGGACCCAGGAGGGAGAAGGAAAGCCCAGCTCCAATGTGCTGCTCAGGATCACTCAGGATGATAAATGTGGCTGAAGCCAGTGCAGAAACAGATTTGGAGGCCTGCAGTGGTTTTGGGGCAAGTTCTGTAACAATAAGCAAGAGCACATGGCCAAAGGAAAAGTTCCAGGCAAGGTCACTTTTAATATCTCAGCACTCAGTGAATGTGACCACCAGAGAACGCTCTGAATAATCGTCCAGGATAAGGAAAGGACTTGGAAAAGAAGGTGGATGCCTGGGAATGAGTCCTAGGAAAGTGATGTTTATGTTTTAGATACGAAAGACACTTTAATGTCCCTGTGTGGTTATGATGGGTACAACCCTTGTTGTAAAGTCTCACCCCAAACAGAAATATGGAGAGATGTGTATGAGCTGTAAGAGAGATGCAGGACTCCAGGTGGGTCTTCAAGATGCAGTTTATTACATCCAAGATGTTCCAGCAGTCCAGTGTCGTGGGTGACAGAGCCTGTGCCCACAGCTGTCAGCTCCAGCTGCAGCCAGGCCTGGAGACCCTTTGGTTTTGGTTACATTGCATTACATACTTTTCTTTGCTGAGCATCTTAATACAGTAGAACCAATCTATACCTTAACTTTTATCTCTAGCCTATCCCAACTACTATAACTATCATATTCATGTTCCTTTTCTCCAATCACTAAAAGTTAGTACATTACAGTTTAAGGTAGAAGTTGTTAATCAGTTTTCTTGCATTCAAAAATTCGGAGACCTTTTTTCTACATGCAACATCAGCAGGCTTGTTTGCCTGTGCTATCTTTCTGGTGTGTAAAAACATCTTCTTATCTGAGGTGAGTTTATCCTTTGCTCTAAGTCATAAAGCCCCCCTCTCACTAACTTACCCTTTGCCTCCTTGGTTATCCAGCAATATTGGCTCAGCAATTATTTTCTTCTATATCAAAACTTGCTTCCATCTCTATTCATTCATCAGACTCTACATTCAAAAATCTTTCTGCTAAGCATACATATATGTGAGACTTTTTTGCCAAACTTTCATTCTTCCGAACAGACATCGTACTGTGTGTCCTTTGGAGGTAAAGAATTCCTGATTCCTAATGCTTCCCATTGTGTTTGAAAGTTTATTATGGGTGATTTTGGTATCACTCCCAGTTCCCATCTCCACCCCACTCCATATCCCATCGCATCCCATCGCATCCCATCGCATCCCATCCCATCCGGTGGCTGCTCGCCGCCTTGAAGCGCTGTCCATTGGGCTCTTCTGCCCTCCAGCTGGGACATTTCAGATCAGCAGCATCCAGACCCATCCTGACCTCCTCCAGACCCTTTGAGAACTCTCTGACCCTTATGGACCCCTCCGACAACCTCCAGGCCTGCGCTGGGACTGGATTTTCCCCAACACTCTCATTCCATCTAGGACCATGAGAGTGTCTCTCCTGCTCCTAGCTTTTGTAACTGGTTTTGTAACTTGAAAAAAAAAATTTAGCAAAGAAATAACACTTTACAGCATTTAGCTGGAATGGTATCTCATGCCTTAACCTTGCTTCCAGGCCTGCCCCTGTAAGATGTCTCAGGCACTAACACAGCTGAGAGAGCAGCATTTCTGCCACATTTGCCCCAGCAGATGCAGACGTGTGTGCACACAGCCAGCCAGCCAGGCAGAGTGAGTGCAAGGTGCCTGTGAGCAATTGCCCTGGCAGACAGTGAAATGCTCCCTGCGGATCCCTTTGCATCTCCCTGGGCCAAGGGCTGGGCCTGGAGCCCTGGCGGGATGGGCCCAGGAGCCGTGGGTGTTCGGGGATCAGCCCAGGGCAGCAGCCGGGAGAGATCCCAGCTGGGAGAGGCCCCAGTGCCAGGGAGCTTCTGCTCAGCGCTGCTGGGCCCAGCAGAGCTCCAAGGCTCTCCTTTGGGGCCGCTGCTCACAGGGCCCCAAGGCATGGGCGGCACTCACAGCAATGGTTCAGCCTGGCCACACTTGGGGCCGGCAGCTTCCTGGGACAGTGGCAGAGCAGGGATGCTGTGGCATCCAGGGCAGTACAATAATTTGCAAGGCTGTTGATGAAAGCCCAGGAGGTGTTTGGACAGCAGCAGCTCCTGGGAGCAGAGGGTGTTTCTGATCAGCGCCACAGGAGCTGAGCCCAGGGGCTGCTCCTCAAGGCTAAGGCCTAAGGAGCCTTTCTGATGTCCCAGTGCAGCTTGGAAAGGGGGTAGAGGATGCACCAACACAAAGAGTGCGACACTTTAGATGCCTATCAGGTGACTCAAGGAATCTCTCAGCCACTGTCTTGTGGTCCCTCAGGAGAGCAGTGGGAGGAATGAACAGACTCAGAGCTCTGTGTCCATGGCAGGATCATGGCTGTGGGTAGGGCTTTCTTCTGCCTCCTCAAAGACCCTCTGGAGGGAGAGCTGGAGGGACCCCACGGAGCAGGGCCTCCAGCACCTCCCTGCCAAGAAGTAGATTAAGGGTTTGATGCTGCTGAGGATGCAGGTGAACCGGAAAAGAAGCTGGGAGGGCACAATGGTGTAGCTGAGCTGCTGCAGAAAATTCCAGAGACTGAGGGGCAGAGTCAAGAGCACAATGAGGCAGATAACAATGTCGAGTCTCTTGGGTTGCTGCTGCTGGGTGCCAGGCTTGAAATGAGTGAAGAGGATTGTGCTAGAAATGAGCATGAATGCAGCACAGAGAAGGAGGTTGACCGTGTGTATGGAGCTGAGAAACGCCCAGCAGTGCTCAAATTGCTGGAACATGCACAGAGAAAGCATCATGGCAAAGACAAGGACGAGAGTGACAAAGAAGGCCCTGAGCAGGGCAAGCATGATCTTCAACAGGTGCTGGGAATGGTGGCAGCAGTGCCAGAGCGGGCAGTGGATGGGCCTGGACCTCTTGACGCTGATGAATGTCAGTGTGAACAGCCACATGCTGTATGACAACAGTGACATCCAGGACAGGTACATTATGTGCGACAAGGGCATAATGATAGAGCAGGACACATTCTCCACCAGAAAAAGGAGAGTGGAGGGCAACAGAATTAGCAGGAAAAGGAAATCCAGAAGAGTCAGCACAAGGATGTAAAGGATGGTGCTGTTCCTGGATGAACAGTGGGAGCCAAGGAGCCAGAGCACAGCCCCGTTCCCAGGCAGCCCACAGAGGCAGATGAGCAGTGTCACACTGTGGGTGGCAACGCTGGTGACATCTGTCTCACAGAGATCATCTCCTTCAGTGGGTGAGGCAGGAGATGGGGACACGGTGGTCACCTCCATGGATGGACGCTGGGCAGGCAGTGGGATGTGGTCCCTGGCTGTGGTCAGAGTGGATGGGCAGTCAGGGCTTGGAGAATCCAGGGATGGAGCATGTGGCTCCTCAGCAGCTCCCTGCAGTGGGAAGGATTCAGTGGGGAGGAGTGAGATGTGCAGGGGAGGAGAGCAGTGGGAATTGTGGGGTGGGAGAGGGAGGTGGGAAGGTTGGGCTGTTCTCCAGAGGATGTAGAATGGAAGTGCTGTGTAGAGGATGGGGGAGCTGGGGAGGGCACTAAAGTCAGCGGGAGAGGGTGTCAGGAACAGAGCAGCTGCTGCAGGAGAGGAAGGTGGGGTAGGGAGGAAGGCAAACATTCCACTGACCTGTTCCCTGTGGGGCAGCAGCAGGCAAAGGGGTCTGTGCAGATCAGCGGCACTTCCTGGTCCCTCTTGCTCCTTTGAGACCCATGACCTAAAGCGGCTCCTGCCAGGTCAGGGACATGGAGGAGAAAGTGCCCACATCACCAGGAGCTCCCCATTCCTGTCCTGCTGGCTCCTCTCTCCGTGCCCTGTCCTGGTGCTCTTCCCCAAGGCTTGGTGCAGTCCCAGGGAAGTCGGAAATTTCAGCTTTGGCTACCTCAGAATGTCACTTCTGCAGAGAGCTTTATCTTTGGGATTTTACACTAGAGTGGAAGTGGTTTTTGTCAAAAGCTTGTAATGAAATATTATGCCAATGGCTACTCAGTTCCTCCTGCTGCGAAACATTCCTAGTTTCTCTACATGAGGGGTCATTTTCCCTCCAGCAGCCGAGGGATGCTGGTGGTGCTGGTGGCACTGGAATGCTGCTGGCATTGCTAGCAGTGCTGTTGAAGCACCTGGATGGTTGTCAGAAACAGCTCCCATTCTGTGAAGAGCTCCAGAACCACTGCCAAATCCTCCCCTGGGCTCATGGTGTCACGCTTGGGCTATGGATTCCCATTCCTGTCAGTCCAGTGCAGGCTCACAGAGCCCAAGGGAAGGACAGCACTCAGTTGCTTGCAGCCAGGCTATCAGCACTTGGAGCCCACCCTAATTACTGCCAATGCCCTTGATGATGCAGTGAAAGCTATCAGGGACCAGGGTGCTGTGAACTCCCTGCCAGCCCTTCACCAGAGCTGCTCCTGCTCCTCCTCAGTCCTGGGAACACTTGGGGTTGTTTTTACGTGATCCCAGGCTGTCCCTTTGCCAGCAGGGACACCTTCCACTATCCCAGAGTGCTCCAAGCCTCATCCAACCTGACCTTAGACCATTCCAGCGATCCAGGGACAGCCACAGCCTGTCTGGACAACCTCTGCTGTTGGAGAATTTTGTTTAGACATGGCTTATAGAGTTTTGTTCAGACATGCCATAATCACATACAGCTGGTTAAAAAGTAAAACGCAACTGTAAGCAGCAAGTTCTCAGGCTTGTTCCTGTAAGCAGCAAGTTCTCAGGTTTGTTTTTTAACAACAAGTAAATACCTTATCCTCGGGTAGTGATGGGAAAGCAGGGTGACAAACATGGAGGCCTTGAGAACAGTCAATAACAGGATGAGAAAAACAAGTTTTGGTCTCAATAAGAAACCACAGGTATTGAAAACAAGAGGAGGGGTTGGTGTGTAATCTGTAACCAATGATGAGCTTGGGTTTTGTAATATGTATAAGCTTAATTAACACCACTATAAAAGTGTGTAAGTGGAATCAACAAATTGGAGTTCGATGCGGATCAATTAGGATGGGTCGACTCCCTTCGCTTCCTCACTCTGCCAGGGCCTCAGCACCGTCACAAGGAAGGATTTTTCCCTAATATCCAATCTGACTGCACCATCTGTAGGTGGGAAGCCATTGCCCCTGGTCCTGTCACTCCATGCCCTTGTCCAAAGTCCCTCTCCACCTCTCCTGGTGCCCCATCAGCTCCTGGATCATGAAGTGTTTGCCCTTGAAAGGATTGGGCAGGTGAGGAAATGTGAGATTCCATAGCTGGGGACACAAACACAGTGTCAGCAGGGAAGAGAGGTGACAGTTCTGGTCCCAGGGCCAGCAGTTTGCAGCAGGAGCATCCCAGATCCCTGAGGCACATGTCAGCCTGGGTAGGAATCATCTCACCTCAGCTTTCTAGTAATTCCTTGGAATTCACTGTAGGTGGCTGTCTGACTGCCAATGCAGCGTCGAGAATGACTCAGATGAAACCTGCAACTTTCTAAGGATTAAAGCCAAGAGAGCAGCATGGATTTGCCTCTTCCCAGAAGAAATGGCATTGCTGAAATCCTAAATTATGACTCTGCTGTCGGCCTGTGCTCTAGGTGAACCACAGAATTTATTACTTATGAATCTTCTTGGAAACTGTGTGGTGAAGGTGAAGCACCACTGAAATTGTGGCATACACATGGAAAAACTAGATTTGAACCAGAAATCAAAGTTTAGACTTTTTTAGCTCAGGGTCCTCAGGATCAACTCAGGAATGAGAGGGGACAAGTTCAGGCAGTTCAAAAGACAAGATTTTGGGATTGAGGTTGCTATAAAAGACAATAGAAGCTGAGATGGAGCCCAAGTGGTTTGGGCACAGGTGTGGTTGCTGAGGCTCTCTCCCGTTGCTCATTTCCCGGGCAGAGTGAAGAGCAGCTGAGGAGCAGAGCCCTGAGCCCGTGGCAGGCTCTGAGGCAGCTGCCTGTGTGTGAGAGCCCTGGAGAACACGAGGCAGCACGGAGAGCAGGGGCTGTGGCAGGAGCTGGGACAGAGCCCGCGCCGGACGCTGCTCGGGCTCAGCCCGCGGGCTGCGCTCCCCTTTCCCAAGGGACCATTCCAGGGAACCTCCTGCAGATCCCGGCCCAGGGACAGCAGCTGGAGCCTGGCAGCTGAGGGCAGTGCACTGCGGGCAAGTTCTCCAGGCTGCCAGAGGAAACCAGGTCAGACTCTTCTCTTCCACCTTCACCAGGGCCCCCTCATTGGGTGGAACCTGGTTATTGATTTTGGGGGCAGAACTGAGGTCTGTAGGGAATTAAGAGCTATAAACACTGGGAAAATGGAGGGAATATTTAAATGGGTGTCCTGCTGAAGGAATCCAGGATCTCAGTGATATCAACTGACACCTGAGAGTCCAGCTCAGATCCATCCCAAAGCCATTTGCTCTCTGGTACCTCCATGGGCAATCCTCTCCTTCTCCAATTGTTTTTCTCCTCCAGCTGTGTCCTGTCCACAGCCAGGAAGGAGGTATCTCCCTGGCTTTTGTGCCAGGCACACAGGACCAGGCTCCCACATCCTCCTTGCCATCTGTCGTGTCCCTCACCCCTCCCTGTGCTGCTCCACATGGAAGCTGTGGGTGGGAAAAGATGGGAAAAGCCATGTTTGGGGGACAGCAGCGTTGCTCAGGTGTGTCTGTTTGTCAGCCCTGCAGCTGTGTGAGGGCAGGAGAAGCAGCAGAGGTGTCCCCATGAGCACTTTGTCCCCTGGCACGGAGGGAGCCAGCCCTGCCTGCTGGAGCCAGCCCGGTGGGAAGGCATCCCAGGGGAGCTGGAATGAGGAGAGCCACGACAACTGGAGCCAGTGTGACAGCAGGCAGTGGAGCAAAGTGCCTGTCCCGCTGCTGCTGCTGCTGCTGCTGCTGTGCCTGTGTGGGATGGTGGGAATGGGGCTGTGCTCTGGCTCCTCGGCCAACAGCAGTGCCCACCCTCTGATTGACTTCCTGGCTGGGAGCTGTGCAAAGGAATTCAGCCCTTCTGTTAGTGTTGCCTTCCAGAGGGCTTTTGAGGATGTGCCAGAGTCAGGGCATAGGGAAAACACAGGGGAGTCACCATCAGGTGGAATAATCATGAAAGCTTCATCACAATATAGAACAATAAAATTCATCACAATATAATACAATATCCAGAGTTGAATGGCACCCATAAAAATCACGGAGTTAAGCTCCTGGCCCTGCTCAGGACATCCCAACAATCCCAGCCTGTGCCTGAGAACATTGTCCAAATGCTCCTTGAGCTCTGTCAGGCTGGTGCTGTGTGCAGCAGAGGAACTCCTGCCTGGGGTGAATGCTTGATGACCAGAGGAATCCTCATGGAATGGTTTGGGTTAGAAGGAACAGTAGAGATCATCTCATACCATCTCTCCTTCTGCCATGGTCAGGGGCACCCAGGAAAACTTCTAGTTTGAAATCTTTACTCTTTTGAAAAGAAGCTCATGGAGTGAGTGGCCTGGGTGACACAGGAGACAAGGAAGGTGCTGGGAAGCAGAAAAAGTACATGGAAGGATAACGGTCCTTCTGCACTTGCCTTGGGAGGGATTCCCTTGCTGAGTTGTTCGTCCCTGGACAAGAGGTTGCACCATGTAAACTTTCTGCTGTCCAATGGGCAGGAACATGGGAGACCGGGAGAGAAAATCCCTCTCAGATGTCCAAATCTCTCTCTTCTGTTAATTATTAACAACTCTGTTAACAAATGCTCCTTAGCTGTTTACCCTCATGTGGGTCTCCAAAGCCTGACTCACCACCCAAGGCTTTCACACTCACTTCCCTTTCCAGAAGCAGTGGCACGTTGGTTTCCCCTGGATTTAAGGCAGTGGGAAAAGGAGGGACAACGTCCCCTGAGCAAGAGATGTGGCTGCTGCCCAGGTCTCTCCCAGGAGGAATCAGGAGCTCTTGGCACTGCCAACATCATCCCAACCACTGCAGTGCCTTAGGAAGGGCTCTGGTATGAGACAGGGATCTGCCCTGCTCCCAGAGCAGCCAGAGGCTTTAGAATGGAACAAAAGAAGGAAATGAGCCATTTTGGACACTGTTTAACAGAGACAGGCTCTGCAGTGAAGCCTGGATGTTGTTTGTTTAGCAAATTCAGAGGCTGGGACTACCACAGTGGAAAGAAACAAAACCCATGAATGCAAATGTGATTGAGGGGTGGTTACAGAATGGCAAAGATCAGGAGAGGCTGGGCTGTGGCTGGAGCTGCTGTGCAGAGTGGCTGTGCAGCTCCTCCTGAGGGTGGCCAGGTTCAGGATGGAGGTGCTCAAGGGCTTCCCTGG